TGAGGAAAGGCTGAGGGTTTTGAGGCTGTTTTCGTTAGAGAGAAGAAGGTTAAGAGGTGACTTGATAGAGACATACAAGATGATCAGAGGATTAGATAGGGTGGACAGTGGAAGGCTTTTTCCTCGGATGGTGATGGCTAGCACGAGGGGACATAGCTTTAAATTGAGGGGTGATAGATATAGGACAGATGTCAGAGGTAGGTTCTTTACTCAGAGAGTAGTAAGGGCGTGGAATGCCCTGCCTGCAAAAATAGTAGACTCGCCCATTTTAAGGGCATTTAAATGGTCATTGGATAAACATATGGATGATAATGGAATAGTTTAGGTTAGATGGGCTTCAGATTGGTTTCACAGGTCGGCGCAACATTGAGGGCCGAAGGGCCTGTACTGCGCTGTAATGTTCTATGTTCTATGTTCTAATCTACACATCCCTGAACACGGGGCAATTTAGCACGGCCAATCCACCTAACCTGCACAACTTTGGACTGCTCGTCTTGCACATCTAAGGTTTTCTCTGCCACCGCGCTGAACTAGTTCTCGTTCACTTCTATGCACCTTGATACCTTCTCAACTTTTCTTCTCTGTGAGACTTGTCTCCTGTTCCCACCAAAACAGCCCTGACAGTCTTTTCACCCTGGCCCATGTGTTATCTGATATCAGAAGGAACTTCCTCTTGTGTTGTCCCTCTTCCCTTTAAATCTGGCATTGTCAGTCCTCCCCTCAAAAGTTGAATTTATCAGATTGCTCGCATGACCTCCAGGATTGGATGAGTTGGTAGTTCCTTCAATTAAATATTGGGTAGACTGATACCATTATTTTCAGCCCCTCCTTCAAGCTCTCCCCTCTCCCCAAGAGCAATCATTTGTGTTGTGTTAATAGTGCTGTATAAATTGTAATTTAACTGGCAGACCAAAGCCCTTATGGACTTAGGTTAACTGTGGGAGGGAAGGGGTGGGGAGTTTGGACATATGGTTCTCTCTGAATCCTCTTTGTATTTTCACACAAGTACAAGCAAATGAGATGAATCATTTCTGGGAGTGGGACTGCAGAGAGATTGCTTGGAGAAACTAATAGTGAGAGTGATGGATGTGAAAGGTACAGGCTGCAGCAAAATAGACAAGAGAGAATTTACTCTGCTGCGTTGGGTTTACATGTTTTGGCATCTCTCAATTTGAATTAGGCTGACGTATTTTTCTGTCTGTCTTCCGGCAGAATGACTGAGTGGGAAGGTGTGCCCGCGGTCGCGGAGACCCCTGAGATCAAGCTGTTTGGCAAATGGAGCACAGATGACGTCCAGATCAATGACATTTCCCTGCAGGTATGTGGGACTGTACCTTATCCCCCCTTCTTTATTGGGCGGGTTTGCCCATGTTTTTGTGTGGTGTTGTAATGTTGCAAACAAGGTGGGCAGTTTGGGCACAGTGATACTGTGTTTATGTGCAGGCAATAACTATGATCCAGGATGCTGGGGAAGAAATCATTTTTCTTCCTCAGAGTATCACCATAAGGGCTTTTACACCAGCTTGAGATTGCAGGCGATACCTTGGCTTGCTTACTCCTCTGAGAGATACTGGCACCAGCAGTTTAGATGCTCGTGTTCAGCCTATGGAATGAGACTTGAATACACAGCCTTCTGATTCAGAAGTGAGGGCGCTACCAAATTAGCTATGTTGGTGCAGACCTGTACCTTAGCTGATCTTGTCCCTCACCAAACCTGTAGCAGCCGATTTGGTTTCAGGGGTATCTGACTCCGTGCCTGGATGCAGCACCTCAGGGAGCCAACACTTAGCTGAGCAATGATTTTCTTGCCATGTTATGAGTGATGCCAGGCACAAGTTAAATATGAGAGAATGCGTTCTTCCGATATCATGTAAATATTTGAATTAGGAGCAAAAGTAGACCATTTGACCTCTTGAGCCTGCTTTGCCATATATGACGATCTGATCTGTTTTTTTCCGAATTCCATCTTCCCATGTGCCCCTAATATTCTTCTCCTGGACCAGAATCTGATTAACTTCAACTGCATTCCGAGGCAGAGTGTTCTAAAGTCACAAAATCCTCAGAAAAAATTTCCCTCATCTCTCCTAAAATTACAAATCCTAATTTTAGTATGGTCTCGCCTATGCTGTACATAACTGAAGCATTACATTCTTACTTTAGTGTCCAATTTCTCTTGTAATAAAGGATAGCATCCCATTTGCCTTCTTGATTCTGTGCTGTACTCCCATAAAAACTTTCTAATTCGTGCACCTGAACACTTAAATTCCTCTGCACCTGGCATTTCAGCAGTCATTTTCTTTAAGTAATACTTCGCTTCTTTGTTCTTTCTGCCAAGTGAATCATCTCACATTTTTCTACCTTTTACTCCCATCTGCCAGGTTTTTTTTCCGTTCAGTCAAGCTATCTATATCCATCTGCACATTCGTTATGACTTCTTCACAACATCATTTCCTATCTAGGAGCAAACTGCTGCAGATGCTGAAATTTGTCTTGCTGTGATCTCCAGCATTTGTCATTTTTGTACATTCCTATCTATTTGGTGCTGTCTGTCAGTTTAACTCCCATGCCCTTAGTGTCCCATGGAGGTCGTTGCAAAGTTTTAAAAAGTTGAAGCCCCATTACAGACCCCTTTTAGACTCCCACTTGTTTCCTGCCAATCAGACAGAAGCCTACTGTGCTTTCTGGCAGCCAGCCAATCTTTTGGCCACGTTAATATGTTACCGCCTGTGCTTTTATTTTCTGCAAAATCTTTGTGGCATCTTTATCAAATGCCATGTGGAAATTCAAATATATTACATGTACATCACAGCATGTGTTATATTTCAAACAACTCTGATGAATTGGTTAAACATGATTTGTCATTGATAAAAGCATGCTGACTCTTCCCGATAACCTTGAGTTTTTAATGCAACGATCTCTTTAATGTTCAGTTCTAACATCTTCCTCATTTCAAGCTAGCTGGTCTGCATTTGCCTGCTTTTCTACCTCCATCCCTCCTTGAAAGGTGACTTGTATTTGCTATTTTCCATTCGGATAGAACCTTTGCTGAAACTAGGGATTTTTGAAAATACACCTATTACTTCATTAGTGACCCTATTTAGACCCTAGGGTAAAATCTATCTGGACCAGAGACTTGTCAACCCTCACAGTATGCTTAATACCACTTCCCTTTAGCCAAGTCGCGCTCTCTAGTCCTTCTTCTGATTTACACCTATTGCAGGTACAGCTTTTGTGTTCTCTGTACTTATACAGAAGCAAAATGTTTGTCCATTTTGTGTGCCATCATTCCTTTGTCGTCTAAATTCTCCATCCTCGTCCTCTAGAGGAACAATACTTACTTTACATTTTCCCCTTTTTAAATACACTTTTGAAAATCTCGCTATCCAATTTTGCACTCCTAGCTGATTATCTAATTTTATCTCTTGATTAACTTTCACGTTATTACTTGCTGTTTTTCATATTCTGACAAATCATCTGACCTGCCTCATCTTGGTGATTTCTTTAACCTCTTTAATTAACACAAATGGGGGGTGTCATACCATAGGACGTTTCTTGAGAGTAGGGATATATATTTTTGTGTATTCTGGATATTCTGAGATGTCCCCTTAAATGTCTGCTGCTGTGTCTCCATTGACCCACAACCAAACTCGCCAATAATAGACAGTCACTTGTTTGCTGCTTGTGAGTGCTTGTACTGAAAAGTATAAGCTATTCTGTGTTTACCTGTACAATAGGCTTTTGGATGTTAGGATGTTTCGTGTATTTATCTGGCTGTTTGTGTGCTAAGCTTATCTGCTGCCCAGTGAGGTCCCAGTGCATTACAATAGTAAATGCTGACCCTGAGTGGCTGCACCTGGAAGCCTAGTTATTAGGACACTTTCAAATGAACAGAACCTACATCTAGAGGTACTGGAACTTCCAGCTCTACCAGTTGGTAGACCACATTGGATAAAGCATTTGAACTTTTTACAATGATCTACTACTTATTTTTCAATCCCTGCTCGCTTTTCTTAGCAATTGGAAGCCCTGCAACTTCAGGCCAGTGATGTATTAACCTTGGTGGAGGGGAGACTTCCAGAAACATTAGTTGGGGGTCAAAATGAATAGTTTCTTGAGCAAGTGTGACTAAATTAAGCAAAGTTGCCATGGAGGTTTTTTTTTGAAG